GGCTAACCGGGTTACGGGATAACCCATTTATTTTTTTTAATTTTTTTTCAGTATAGTTATTTTGTATATGTAACCTTATGAAGCTGTCAATAAATTTTTCATGCCAAATAGCAAATCAAATATGAAATAACATCAATCATATTCAATCGCACAACCTCACTTAGATTCGCAAACAATCAAAGTCTAATAAAATCATAAAAATAGTCACCAATCATAAAGTCTCATAAACTTTGAAAGTTTCAACTTTCACCTAAAGGATAAAATAAAAGCTTAGACAAGCATGAAGGTTTGATAAAAGATGAATGAGAAACAATATCATCAATTAAATGAAGAATAAAAATATTTTTAAAAAATTAAAACTTAAACGGGCGGGTATGGGCAGCCCAATACCTTGCCCATAGCCCAACCCATTTAATGGGCTACCCTGCCCATTTAAGCCCGCCCGTTTATAATCTCTTATTTGGGTTAATTGGGCGGGTTTAAATGGGCAAAAATTTCATGGGTCATGAGCGGGCTAGCGGATAATGGGTTTGTTGCTCACCCCTAATCACAACATATCTCTAAATTCAGAAAACGCTCATAAAAGTATTTATAGATTACTTTCCAATAGAATCTTTACATCAGTAGTAAGATTCAAATTCACAACTTGGTAGGTTATAAACCGATTCGCTACCAACTGAATTAATTCTTGATAGTTTCGTTACGTGTTAGGATTTTGCCTGCCTGAACAAGTTCTCGGAGGACGGATAATAATAACCGATTCTGTATGAATTCTTTGTGCACCATGTGGTCCAACATTTATGCGTCCAGGCCTCTAAGGGGGCCCTAACAAACTTTAATTTCTACAACCTGACGACTCGCTCAAAATTACCAAACCTCTTGTGCCAACAACTTCTAATCACTCTTGATATGGTTGGAAACTTGGGATCTTCTTGTGTTTCCAGTAGTTTATAAATTTATTATTAAACACGAACATCCAATAATAGGTTGTGGAAGAAAAATGGGAATGAAACTTGTTAACTTATTCCGTACGTCAGGGCATTAGAGGTGGTAATTTCACCTGGTTTCATTTCCTATTTCCAAAACAATTTTTTATTTTAAAAAAAAACTTGTTTGGTTGAATGGGGGAAAAAAAAAAGAGAGCAACTTCTTTGTTTCTACATTCTCTTTATCATGTAAAACTTGATGATAAAGGGAGAGCCTTGTCTTCTTTCAATGCCTAGTAGCTAGAGATCCTTGTCTGTTGAACTCGCCACTCTCTAATTCAGTTGATAAGAAGGTAATGTTGGATATGTAAGAAGTTAGAAACTAGACATGGGATTAAGATGTCAAGTTAGGCTGTGAGAGTGACCAAGAATGAGTTTAAGATATAGAAGCCGCTCTAATAGTTAACTAGTACTGAGAGAGTACCCTTGACTTTTTCACGGACACGATTGTTGTTAATTAGGCCTCGAGTTGTAAGTCCTAAATAGTATGCATTCAGGCAAGCTATATGTGAAATGAGAATGTGAAAGAAAAGAGACAATCCCTTAAGATAAAAATGAGAATGACAAAATATGTTGAAAAGACCTGATAAAGGAACTTGAAATGCTGTGGTATAGTAAAATACCATGAAGACAAGTAAACTGTGATCGCATTATTATGAAAAAATGGGCTTAGAGTATAGTGAGAATGCTAGCGATGATGACAAAACACGTAAAAGCAAAAGTCATGCTTGTATAAATAATAGAAAAGTAAAAAAAGGAAAAACTAAGTAAGAATTCCAAGATTGAAACCTGGTAATGAGGCATAATAGAATATTGAAAAGGCCAAAATTAAGCATAAGTGATGATATTTTCTTCAGTTAACCTCTCATTAAGGATAAGAATAGAGGTTTGACTCGGAAATTTCGAGGACGAAATTTCTTTTGAGAGGAGGAGAATTTTCACACCTCGAATTTTGGGTCTAGAAGCACCAGAATTAGCCTGAAACAAACAAACTACCAAACTCCTTTTGACAAGGTTCCAAAGGTTTCCTAAAGGAACCGAGAGATTCCTAAGAACTAAATCATAAAGGAAAAGTTTTCTGAAATTGAGAAAAGAAGAAGTTAGAGACTCTGAAAAATCTTAAGACCTAAGAATGAGAAATAGAGATAAATGTAGGCCAAAGATTATGTTGGAGGCTTCAATGAGGTGAATTTTGAAGTTAAGCCAAACCAGGGGTAAAATTGTAATTTTATAAAGTTTTAGGCTGATAACAAAAATGAAAATTATACCCAAAAATCTCAGAAAAATCCCAAAAATTGGAAAATGGTAGGTTCAGAAGCCTGAACACTTCAAAAAAATTTCAGAAAAATAGAAATAAGATTCAGAGGCCTGTATGAGGGTAAAAATAACAAAAATGCCCTTGGAAAGAAATTGTGAAATTCTCAGGGTTTTGACTGATTTTGAATATTATTGAAAATGAATTTTTTAAAACATAGAGAGGCCTAAGATAATTGGAAGAAAATGAGGAAAGATACTTGAGAAATTATCACAGGTTTTAAAAATAATTCTGTCCCTAGAAAGTGAAGAGGTTGGCTTTAATAGAATTTAAAGCCTATTTACACACTATCCAAAGAAAGTCAAAATCAAATGTCTAGAGGTTGACTTTTGACTTAAGAAAAATTAGAGGAATTCCCCGTGATGAATAAATAACATTGGTACCTAGAGATAGATTCTTAAAGTTGTGAACCGGTAGAAAGAATTCCATTAATATCACTCCGAAATAAATATTGTTAATTATTTTAATAGAAGAACAAGAGAAAAGCATCTCTCTCTTTGGGCATGTTATATAATGCCGTGTGAATTTATTTGAGGTGAGAAAATAGTATCAGAATATGTTCTAGTAGTTCCAGATAAGTCAGGACCTGAAAAAATACCCTATACGATACAGAATAGCAAAATAGGTAGAAGAATATATTTTACACGAATTTTATATTAATCTTCTTCTTATTTTAATGCCTTAATGATTAAAGAATATGGAAAAGACAAGTATACAGTTAGATGGGAAAAGAAAGTATTATGCATATGATCAGATACAAGATACGTGTACGGTCGGATTAAAAGCATGTGGATTGATGATATAGGCATGATGTCATCATGATAAGGTAAGCATGATGTCATAGGACACTTGCCACCGTAAGATTAAAAGAGAAAATTGACGATCCAGATCAAGTCACATATTTTTAAAATCAATGGCCCAAATTCAGTCTTGTTTTCTATAAATACCCCCTCCCTACCCCTCATTTTCGTGCAAGCCATGGAACCTATAGAGAAACTCTTGCAAAATGGCTTCTAGATAGACAAAGAAGAGGGAGAAAGAAAGGTCAAGTGGTCATATGCAAGATCAAACTCTAAAATAAGGTACGTTCATGATTTTTAATGTAGTTTCTATTACCCTTATTGTTATTAAGCTTAGTTATGGATTTTAATGATTTTTGAGAGTTTGAAACCTAAAAAGTTATGCTGCACGAAATTCTTAAAAGTGAGTATAGATGAAATTGATATTAGAATGATGTTTAAAGGCTTGAAAGAAATAAGAATCAAGTGGCTTTATATCAAAATTGGTTGAATTTCATGACTATGTAACTTCAGTCATATTTCGGTCAATACTAGTTCATGAGAAAGAGTTTGATTTTGATTATTTTAAGTTTGAAAATAAATTCTACATGTAAAATTATGTAGGAATAGCATGTGGAATTAAATCAAGCTCAAAAGTTAGAAGTCAATATAGTTTTAAAAAAAAAACAAAGTGTTGATGTTGTTGATTACCAGAGCTTTAATGAATAAATAGAAATGATATGTTGATGCATTTAAGATCATGAAACATTAAGAGAGATGAATGACAAAGGTTGAACAAGCAACCTTAATCGTTGAAAGCCAAAAAGAGTAAGAAGAAAATTTAAGGACACAAGGTAACAAAGTTTACCCTACTCTTATGTGCTTGGCATTTGCTTGTATGTATGATATATTCTCTGTTTATATGGTTATATAAACTCATGCATTGTGATCATAAATATGTTTAAAATATGTCATAGGCCTGTGTTTTATGGTTAATATATGATAATTTTTAAATATGTCATTATATTAAAAAGGTGTTAAGTTACAAGTATGTTCTAAATGCCAAACTTGTCATGTATGTTTGGGTAGTTATTGTTTACTACTGAGATTCTCCCGAATCTCACCCTTCTTTAAACGACCATAATAGGTGATATGACCAAACGAAAGATATATTAAGTGGAAGCAAGGAAAGAAAAATAAAGATTTGGAGAAATTTATTACATTACGTTGTACACTTTATATACTAATGTATGTTATAAATGTACTATAGATGATATGTAATGATAATAATAATTTTGACTTTTGTAATTGGCTATGATAATGTATGGAATAATTAAGGTATAAATGGAATGACATTATGCATGAAAAGACTTAATCATGAACTGTTAGTGCAAGTTAGGGGATGAGCTATCCCTAATTGAGTAACAAAATAGTGACAGAGTAGATGTATGACAAATGACTGACTCTACTCATGAAATTTGCCATGATTAAAATACACATCCGGAACTTTAAAACAAGTAGTAAATCACTTAAAACGGATATGTGTACTAAGAATTCTGATTGCTCAAAGTTAGACTAAAAATCTAAAATTTACCAGTAAACAATAATCCGAAAACTAATCACAAAATTCAATCTACAGTGTGAATCACTTGAATTATAATGCTTCCAAACGCATTCTTTATTTTTTTTCCTCAAAACCTGTTCTGAAAAACAATTTCATAAAACTATTCTAAAACAATTGAAAACAGATCCGAACAAGGCCTCCCTTTTAGTTTTTCCCTGAACTCGATCGTTAAAAGGTCGCAGGTATTGCAGCAGCAATTCTTGAAATGAAAGGGTATAACATTTGCACTTATCTTTTATCAGTTTGAATTTAAACCCAGTCGGCAAATTTAAGAAACTGGAGTGCGTCAAGTTTGTCTCTAATTTATTCATCAATTGTCGAAGAGATTAAATTGAAAACTTTTATTTTTGCATAACTAAAATCAAAGCATTTGTAATGACTGAATTAAATGTCACGTACTCAACCATATTTCATCATTCCCAACATTTCGGAAATGTGGTGAGAGAGCACTTTTTCATTTCTTTCACTCGCACAACTGGGTACAAAAACCCACATCAAATGAAAACTCTCGAGTTCCACCGAACTCCAATACAAGAAACAGGTGAACGAACTCAACAGGGTAGGAGACTTCCAGGAAGTGTGCCCCCTGGAAAGACAGAGAAGCTCCAGGGTTCAAGAAGTCTGCTTCTAAATTATTGACAAGTACAAATCAGCAAAGCTACAAAAAATAACCCCCTCGAGTTGATGTGTCCAAGTTATTAACGTTCCCCTCAGATAAGGAGATGGTAAAACAGTGTATAAATCGTAATCCCTGAAAATTTAGCAGTTTATCGATGCATCAGAATCTTTTAAACCAAAGCCCATATGCACCTAATGCGTAAAACCAGCATTCTCCACATCTTTCTCTATCGTCTTATTGTGAGAAAGGGATACAAATTTTAGCGACATTCAAGGCGATCAGTGAACTAACCAGGATTTCAAGAATTTCAGAACTGGAACAATAAAATTAAGCAGTGGCAGCCATGGGCACAGATCTGTAGCAAACTCTCTTTGCGGCTCGAACAATATCCTCAACCTGTACACCCATATCAGTAACTCAACCCTTGCAACCAATCAACAATTCATATTTCTCCTTAGATATACAGCTGATTCTCACGGCTACTAAACTTTTTCCTTTCCTTTTCTCCTTTTTAATTACACAACAACTAACGCACGCGCACATCTATTTACACACACACCACAGATGAAACCCATGTTCTACCTCCTTTGGGCTAAATTTCATGCCACCATGACATGTCATTTACAGCTAAAAACTTACATCTAAAATCAATGTGCAGACAGAATATAGATACATAATCAGGTACGTTATTCCATTATAAACAGAATATTTAAACAGCATTACCTGAGGGACAGCCATTCTCTCCAGATTGGCTGCGTAAGGCATAGGAACATCAGCCCCAGCAACTCTCTCAACTGGTGCATCAAGATAACCAAAGCTCTCCTCAATAACAGAGGTGCTACACAAGGGAAGGAAAAATACATGCAGAAATTTATAAAATGAACATTGAATTAGCAATAAATAAAACTCTCAAATGAGAAAGGACAAACCAGATTTCAGCACCAACGCCATGCTGAGGAAATCCTTCTTCAACTGTTACTAGTCTGTTGGTTTTCCTGACAGATGCATTAATTGTCGATCTATCAAGAGGCCGGATTGAACGCAAATTTATGACCTATAATGAAGATAAATCATAACGTAATCCAGAGAAAATAATAAGAGGGAATTGAAAACCCACAAGTTCTCTGAATTATGACAAGGTTTACCTCAGCACTCATCCCTTCCTTTGACAACATCTCAGCGGCCTAAACATTGAGTAAAAGAATTGATTTAGATAACCCATTCTTTGGAATAACGGTCCACTTTTTCTTTAATACAAAAGCCATGTTAGATAACCCATTCTTTGGAATGACAGTCCAATCTTTCTTTAATACAAAAAGCCTGTCACATGGATGCATAACATTTCCCCCCTCTATTTATCATCCAGACGTGAAATAATTCTATACCTTATTTCCATAACTCAGCATATAGGAACACAACAATAACAGACAATACATTAATACAATGACTAAGAATCAAAGGGACAAACAAACCTTGAGAGCGTAGCCAACCATTTTTGAAAAAGCTGTAATAGTCACATCTTTCCCTTCTCTCTCAATCTGTTAAGGGTAAAATGCAGTTAAAAAAACAGCTGGAACAACAGTGTTAAATAACAAAGGTGACCCTATAAAGGCTTTCTAGGGTATAACTCATGTATCAAGTGTAAACCATTTACCTTGGCTTTCCCAATTGGAAGGCAAAAACTTGAATCAAGAGCTTCATCTGACACAGGGAATGACTCACCGTATCTACAGTATGAAACTCGTCCAATTAAACATTTTTAAAGCATGAGGCAATGGTCAAAATTTTCAAAGTCGCATTTATCCATCCAAGCATTTGATAACTCACAACAACTCATTTTCAAGGAAAACAACAGGATCCGGATCCCTTATAGCAGCTTTCAGTAAACCACGGGCATCCTCTGATGAATATGGTGACAAGACCTTCAATCCAGGGCAAGTGCCATACCAAGCTGCATAGCACTGCATATAAAAAAGTTGAATAATATAACAAAACACCATAACCCAAACAATTTGCAATACAATCAGAAGCGGAAAAACCACTGCATACTGAAGGCATTTATATAAAGATAACCCAAGGAACCATACTTGAGAGTGCTGAGCACCGACTCCTGCAGCAGCACCATTGGGACCCCTAAAGACAATAGGTACAGATATTTGCCCAGCAGACATGTAATTTGATTTTGCAGCAGAATTGATGATGTGATCTATCGCCTGCAAAAAGCCCACACAACTTATTAGACAAAGGAAGTCACACCTTGGTAATGTAGAAATAAATGAAGGGGCTCTTTGGATATCCTCAGAAGTGCTTTTTAAAAACACTTCTCCGCAAACTGAGATAAACTCCTCCACATATTTACTTCATACACTATAAAAACACTTTTAAAACTATGGTTTGATTTCCATCCAAACACCCCAAAAATCTAGTTTTGAGGCTATTCATGCCCATGCCCCATGATAAAATCTTGAGAGACAATTTGGATCAGGTCCATAGATCTACAGTATCATCCATGTTAAGTCTGTTGAAGACTAGGGTCCGGATAAGAGCCTTGACTTTTAGACGAATCTTATAAATCCAAATGGCTGTCAAGAAGGAAAACTTGCTATATCAAAAAAAAAAAAAAAATTGCTAGGTAGGAGATGCAACAAGGAAATGAATGCAAGACTTACAATACATATGAAATAACCAAGTTGAAAACTCTCCTACCCTTAAAGAAAAAAACAGTGTCACAAAGAAGCATGAATCTGATTCAACTATGGTTGTATAGGTAAGATCACTTAAAAAGAGAAAGTCCCCTAGTTAAACAAAAGTATTCAAAAGATTTATCATGCAGATAAAAAAAAAAAAAAATTGCCAGGATTTGCAAAGCTTTTCTAATTTTAGAATGAACATTTCTAGCCGGCTTCTTGTCCCCACAAAAATCCATTGCAACAATCACCATTAACCCTTAACCAAACCACATGCCTCGTGACACGATGTTGTAATAAATAAAAGTAGTTAAGGGTTAGTAGGGGTAATTAGGAGTGATGACCGTTAGCAAATATGGCTATAAATACATGGATTAGTGAATAATAGTAACAGGCATTTAATTAATGGGCATGTGATTCCTATGTTTCTACTATCCCTCTCCTATCTTTCTCTGTCTCTCTTCTCTATCTCTCTCTTTCCCTCCCTTTCCCTCCGCTGTCAGAATTACAAAGATACATCACCTAAGCAATTAATTTGGGAAAACATAATTAGCAATAGCGGCTGGATTAACATCTGGTCCATTCATCCAAATCAAACTTGTTGCAAGAGCCCGATGGAGGGAAAATACAAAATAGAGTTGAGGAGTGAATGACCCATTTATCTCTCTCCTGACATGCGCACATGCATGAGTCAAAACTTTTCCCACTTATTTCTCACTTGTCCAGTAGAGTGTTACTTTTAGAATGAGCTCTTTGCTGTTCTTGAAGAGAGTTGGGTGTTTCCTAGTATATTGGATTAGTTTCTCCAAATTCAATCTAAAGGATTTGACAATAAGAAAAAAATTACAAGAACATTTCATAGTGTTCATGAGATTCTATGGTTTGTCTAGATGGAGAGAATGCTGAATCTAATATGATAATTGCAAATAAATAAGAGGTTAAGTCCAAATTTTCCCCACTTTCGCAACTAATCCAATATTTTCTCCATCAAATAAACTAACATCAAAGTACTTCCAAGAGGAAAACTCCCCAAGGCATGTAGCCTGATCTTTCCCACCTAGAGCGAAAATAAAGCATAATCATTCTAACCCCAAGGAAACCCCAATGTAAATTGGAAGAGGGAAAGAGAACAGAGTGTAATACTAGAAAGTCAAGATGGAACTGAGGCAAAAATGCCCAACATTAAGTGCGCACACTTGTCAGCATGTAGCAAAAAGAGATTACACAATCTTAAAAACTATGTTAATTTCACTTAATAGGAACTAAGAATCAAATAACTTCCACCAAAACAAATCTGAGACATAGGAAGCTTTATTGATTTATATGATACCGATGTAGAAATATACTAACTACCAGCAGCACGTCCAAAGAAAAATACATTTTTTTTCATGAAGTCATTGGATGGTCACCCATGCGAGGTGAGGGACCCTCCTCCAAAATTTCCCAAGGTAAGAAAACCAACTCATAAATATCTCATCTTGCAGTCCATGTTACTCAATGAGAAACTAGGCAACTCACACTACATTGGTCACCATCATCGACAATGAATGATTCACACCGGTAAAATTAAATATACAATCTATCACTATTCTTTTGTTAAGGTTTATCAAAGAGGTCAAATTAAGCAGTGACTCCCAGCTAGCGGAAAAGGTGAATTTTCATTCATTTATATAAATATTAATAGTAATAGATGCTATTGCGCCTCTTTCTTGCGTTAAATAGTAATGGCTTGGCTAATGGGCATAGGCCCAACTCCTCAATCAACTCTCCCGTTGGTCGAGTAACTTCACTCCTCTCCTATTCAGTCGAGAGCTTTTGATGGAGTCCCAATTGCTTAAAACTCACGCTCCTACCAATGCTGCGAGAAAGTGTTCCGCTAACTAAGCACTAGGTACGGTCAGCCTTAGACAAGACAAGCCAATCATTCACACCTGACTTTCCTTTCTTTGAACCCTCTACCGAGCTATTTTGCTCAATTTTTACAACCCCGCTCCAGGATCCCTGCGCCTCAGATGAGAATTCTTCCGTTCCCGGGCATCCCGCAGCGCAACCAGAACGACTCTGAACATTAGGGAAGATAAGGGAAGACCACCTGAGCGAACCGACCGAGGGAATCGACTGAAACCTTTACTCCACAATTCCAATTTTATACTATAATGAGGTTAATTAGGATTTATAGAATTCTCAAAAGTACTTTTTTCTATATATAGGAAAAGGTGGGAGAAATGAGCAAGCCTAAATATCAAAATCTGAAGTTCTACATCCCTAAAAATCAGGGGAAGTCCGATATTTGTTTCTGCAGCGTCAGAACACTAATAGTCTACTTAACAGAACCTGTAAGATTGAATATTCTATATTACAGGGAAGATTTTGAAAAACTTCAGGGTAAAAAATCAAGAGGTTCTGTAGCCAATCCAAGAACACATATTATGGAAACAAAACAGACAAGCTAGAGAAACTCTAACCTGCATGGAGAAGTTAAATGTCATAAACTCCACAACAGGCCTTAGTCCATAGTAAGCAGCACCAACTCCAATCCCAGCAAATCCAGCCTGCATTAGGATTGACAAACAAAATGTAAAACAGCAATTACTACCAGCTAAATATAAATCATATTCTTTCCCTAGAAACAACCTGTTTACCTCAGTTCTAGGGAATTTGCGTTCTTGTAACTTTTTAAGATGGGAAATACATCACGGTAATGCAATTATCCAGAAAGATGTGATCTTTAAGAGTTACATTGAGAATTAGAGCCAAAAAGAGTCAATATATCCAAAACAATCCATTAGGAACCAAAAATTGAAACACTAGCGTTCAGAAGGATTAAACTAAAGCATTCTGTCTGAGTACGTTTTAAACTACAGAAAATTCAAGATTCTTGTCATCTGATAAATTAGATTAACTCAAACAGGAGGAAGAAGTGGACTATAAGCATTAAAGAATTTCTCTAATTGGCGGAGTTTGTGAGGGGAAAAAAATCAATAGATTGAAAGCATAAATTTTAAATGGATAAACAAGGAGGAAGAGAATTTATTAAGAACTCGAAACACTGGCAGCAGAATATCAAATGAGGAAGGAGCTAGCGAGAGTGAATCGAGTAACAAACAAAACCTCAGTAATTGGAGTATCAAGAACTCTCTCTGGACCATACTTCTCCAAAAGCCCCTTGGATATCTGTAAAGGAAAAGTGGGTAAATATGACTTTGTATCAACTTAATTCATAAATCAACATGATCCGTAGGAATATCATCAAAATCAATAAGTCCATTTATGACCTTGTATGCACCCTGATATTCTCCAACCTGCACATATATATCGAAAGTCAGCATACGAATGGAGTAGAGACCAGATTATAGAAAACAGAGAAAATGAAAGGGTCACTTTCATTACCTCCTCACCCATCAAGAAGACTCTATGATCAGCTGACATTTCTTCGTCAAGTGCTGAGTTCAGGGCCTCTCTGACCGTCATCTACAAAATTAATCCGTTTAAAGCTTAAACAAGAGGCAGGAAAAAAGATGGTATCCAGCTTTGCAGGGAAGAGGAAAGAAGAATTGTGATTTCCATACCTAACAAAAATTTCAAATGGAAATAAGTAAGCATATAGATGAAAGTGGAACACAAAGCAGTACCTGTTTCGCTGATGAAGAGTAATTTCTAAATGCGGCAACAGCTGGGCGAATATACTGCAGGATAGTCCCAGTATTATTATTTAAAAAATAATGGAAGACTACGGAAAATCAAAAGACGAATAGAGAACAGCGTACCGTTCCAGGAAGCCTTCCAGCACAAACTTTCTGCCTTAGAACACCCCACATCTTATTGTTTTATTCGGTTTAAGCTTTCAATCCTAAAATGAAATATTGACGAAAGGATTAAAGGGCAAGCATCGATCCAAATAAAACTGTAGCGGATTCCTATATTTTTCCAAATTCCAAAAAAGGGGCACGAAAATCAATTCATCAATTCAGCGTAGGAAACGGGAAGACAGGGATTCAAGAGCCATAAAGGTAAAAGCAAGATCTTCGCAAAATTTGACAGACCTCTATCAATACACAAGGGTCGCCTCACCGGCGGTGTCCTATCCGCACTCGACAAACCAGATGATGGGAAACCCTCAACTGAAGCTCTCTGCTCTGCTCATTAATTTATTGGGATGGCCATCTCAATCATACTGTCTTTTAGCGTCAGTTTTTTACCATTTTATTTTGATATATCTTGGGCCAGATTCTGTGATGGAGGCTGTGTTTGGTTTGTGTTGGAATTTTCATTAAGTCTGTTGGAATGGAAGCGTGAATGGAAGGTTAAAAATCAATATTGATAGGTGCTGGCAAAAAAAAAATCAATATTAATAGGAAAAAAGATAATAAAATATCTTGAAATTTGCTAAAAGATTTAAAATTTTAATTGTGACTTCTAGTATTATTTTGAAAATTTTCAATTCTTACAAAATTATATAAATACCTTTCACAATTTTTTTTAATATTGTCATCTCTGCACCTTTAGCCAGTTTCTAACTAGCCATTGGAGCTCTGGCACCGGCAACCCTGCCGGTGACCTACCATCAGAGCTCTGGCGACATGTTACCGGTGACCAGTCGTCAAAACTCGGATGACCACTTATTTTTATATATTGACTATTTTTTTTAACTACTAACTATATTTGTTTTTAGAATTCTGATGACTACTCTTGTTTAGTTATTAACTACTCTAATTTTTTTTTTGATGAAATATTAACTACTCTAATATTACGATTAACTATTTTTATTTTTAAAAATTTTGTGACTACTCTTATTTAATGATCGACTATTTTAGTTTCACTATTGACTGCTTTTATTTTAAAAATTAAAAAAAAAGCATTAAGTATTATTGAAGATCTAATTACTATTTTTGTTTAGTTATTTACTACTCTTCTTTAGTAAATAGTTATACAAAAATAGTCACCAGAACTGTGAAAACAAAAGTAGCCAATAATTAAACTAGAATAGTCAATAGTTATAAGAGAGTAGTCATTGGGAGTAAGAGCAATGTTGTCATTTTACAATATTTTAAAATTTCACAATAGTATAAGAGATCTGATTTAGAATTTTAAAATTCGCTCACCCTAATTTTGTCTTTTAGCATTTTTAGGGTATTTTAGTGTCCTTTTCTCATAATATCTTCTTCATATAATTTTTTTTATCTTCTTTTATTTTTTATCCATTTTATTTCTAAATTTAAATATTATAATAAATATAAATAATTAAATAATTCATAAGGCATAATTAAAACAATTTGTTTTAAAATTTGTGTATTACAAATATATAAAAAGATGTCTTCTCCTTAACAATATAACAAGACATATTTTTTTATGTTTTATTTATTATTATGCATTTTATGGTGTTTGAACTAAAAACCTCATATTTTAGTTTTTTTTACAGCATATATTTTAATGCTTATATTCAATAGAAAATTTGTAAATTGTAATAACGGGCAATTTAATTTCCTCTCTCGAGACCCAATGCGAGGATGCGTCAGTCATATACTCTCGCTTTCGAAACAGCTACTCTTATTGTATTATTAATAATTAATAATCATTGATATTAATATTAATTATTAATAATAAAAATTTTGAAATATGTCCCATGGAAAGAAACAGGAGTTTTATAAAATATTTTATATCAAAAAATTGGGAGTTGATTTAAAATAATTGCAGCTTGGGTGTTAGCTAAAACAAACCAAGCTAACATGGTCTGATATTCAAAACTTTAGTCTAGGTAAGGCTACTGATTCTCAACTCATTAACGGGTTACGTTAGAACTCTCATCTTTGAACATTAGATCTAGGATAGCTAGGAAAGTCGTCACTAAACAAACCTTAATGGATCGTGGTCAGATTCTATTTCTGATACACAGGATCCTCTTAAAGAGGCAAGTACAGAGCATACTTAGAATTTCTGATAACAAAAGAAAGGCATTATAAGTGAGGCTTTTAGAAGAAGAAAGGGAATCAAAGAGAACTCATAAGGAAAGCACACCAGTATTATACAAGAAAGTTACTACAATTCCTTCTGCCCATAACCGATGGCAGAATGTGGTTTATATAAAGACTTTAGGTCATAACATGACAAAACCTAATAGTAAAGACTCTAGACACCATTATTATGACATGACATAAAGGTAAAGTTGCCTTTAATGATTACAACAAGACAAACAACTTTAATAAAGATCAAATTAAAGTAGACAAATAACATAAAGTATATTCTTGGGGGTCCTCCTATCTTCTGATATGACACAAATGATATTCTTTGATGATTTTGTTCCCTTAGTCTTCAGAGATAGGTTCATGACATCTTCTGGGTCAGAGTCATCAACATTAGAGTCGTAGATTCCTATCGTATAATATAAAGGGCATCTCCTCCTTGTGGCCTGTTCTTCTTCAAAGTTTGTGATAAGGGTTTCTAACTAGTTAGGGTCTTAGGACTGAAGACTTGGCTGAGAGAAGTGGAGTCCTTCAAGATGAGTGAGCTGAATCTGTGAGTCTCCTTGGTAGGGATCCTAGGATACTTCTGTTGGAGGAGGAACTTGTGAGGTGTTCAGGGGAGGTTTGACAGCATTCATAATAAAATTCCTCTGAAATTCTTCAAGTGCTGACCAATTGGTCTGTGGTAAATTAGGAGAACTAGGAGGGAAAGGTCCAAGAGAAAGACATACAGTGTCTTCTCCTGTATCTGGTTCATTAAGTGCAGTTAATGTCTTTCCAATTTTCTCCATTAATAACTTTTCATCTTTTGGCCATAGGGGAGTAGTGATCTGGAGAATCAGATGATTATCTGTGTAAAGCCTTCCATCAACACCTCTATCATAACGTCTGTAAAAAGTAAACAAACAAAAAAATTTCTTTTGTTTAGAAGATGATGCTTTCCAGATATTATAATCATCAAGGATTTTCTAAAATTTTCCTCTCCAGTAAGGAAGAGGAGCAATCATCTCAAACATAATTAGGATCGTTACCCTCACCTAGATTACATAACTCTATATGGCATGATGATAGAATCCCATGAATACACAATTTCAACATGAAGAAAAAAATATTCTACACCCTCGCCAATGCAAATGACTTTACCCACCAGTCAAAAATCACATAGTTTCAAAACAACCTTTCTTTGCTAAGAGGCAAGCTGAGTATGTCAAGATAATTCAAAAGTCAGAATATATCTTCACTTTTTTAAAGGACTCCCCAAAGCAAACAGAACATACAGGTCACTGGCTATCATGCACCGTCCCTATTGAAAGATAGAAAAAGCATAACCGCCACATTATTTGTTCCTCCTCAATATCACCACTGATGAAGATCCACAACGAAAGGTTAACCCTCTAAGCATACACAAAGCAAGAAACTGACTTGAAAAAATAACACAAAACATAAGAAGAAGAATCAAAACATTCAAGATCTAACTCACACCAAGCCAAACCCCATAATCTCTAAGTCACCTGCAAACAGAACTACTAAACATCCTAGAATGTAAAGAGTGATTTTGACTTAATCCAAAAACTTTAATGTTAGAAATCCACACGCCAAACAACTGGCAAAACAACAATACAATATTGCGTAATAGAAAGCTGAGTCTACTGACATTTTTTAAAATGAAATACACACGTTAGTCAAAGTAATTGTAAATGCTACTGCTGGTTGAAGGTGTTTTCTTAGCTTGCTTGAGGTTAAGGTATCACGTGAAAGGTAGTTAGGATTTAGGAACAAAAGTCAAAGATATGATCACTTAGGTTTGATTATTATGATTAACATTAACTAATCTTAATATTTTATATTGACCTTGATCAACTAACCTTAATACAAAATGCTTTAACCATAAGACCACCAAGGGCAGCAAAGTATTCATACTCCAAAACAGAGAAGGCAATAAGATGTAGAATAACATCATTGTGAGACATTCCATTTTGTTGCTTTTCAACGCAGATTAGCATCATCCACAATGATTGCGTATTTAATTTTCTTCTACATCACTTTTGATAAGTAAGTCTTAACCCTCAACCTCACTTTGAAAAAAGTGTTTCCCTCCTCATTTCAAAAGTTTTTCTAGTTACACTTTGATAGAATACCCGAATAATAAACCTAGAAGAGATAACAAATTGAATCCTCTGAAGCAATTGCATCCATCACATTTTGATAAATAGAAAAAATGGCAGAAAAAATAAAAATGCCTCGAAAAAGGATTGACACCAAAATTTACTGAGAGGATCATTGGGTGACACATTCAAGGCCTGCTAGAATATAACCTGAGCTATTGCAAGATACAAACATTACTTTTAGCAGTAGCTCCTTGCCATTGCAACCTCACCTCAAGTCAAATGCAACAGCACAAACCAAGATCTCCTCATCTCTGCCTCCCCAGTGTCATCGACCTCGTCACTAATGCGTCTTTGCCATTGTCATGGTCACCAGTGTCACATCTCAATTTTGAGGCCTAGGAGTCCTGGAAGTAGTCTAAAGAAGGCAAGCTACTAAGCCCTTTTGAGCAGAAGTCCCAAAGATGAGAAAGGAAGTCAAAGATGTTTAAGGGACTAAATTGCAAAGTAAAAGTTTTTAGGGGCTCAAGTATAATCAAGGCTAGAGGCTCCAGAAAAGTCTCAAGGGCCTAGAAAGAGAGAAGAGAGTAGAAATAGGCCAAGGGTTAGGTTAGAAACCTCAAAGAGAGGATTATATGAAGTTAAGTCCAAGCAGGGAATAAATTGTAAATTCAGAAAGTTACGATCAATAGGAGTAAAAATAGAAGAGCATACAGAGAATTCCAAGAAAATATCAAAAAATGGAAAATAATATTTTAAGACTCTTTTATAAAGAGAAATGACAAAAATACCCCTGAGGTAGCTTAAATGGAATTTATGAAGTTATGGCTGGTAAAAAGTATACCGTTTGAGGTAATTATTTAAAATAGCAAGAGACCTCAAAAATGTATACAGAAATGAGATTACATGGTTGAAAGGTGTACTAATTTATAAAATTAGTCCCGCAACTAAAAGACTAGTGGAATGGCTTTAATAAATTAAAAATCCAATTATACCGTTAAAAGGGCATTTTAGTAAATATTTTTATGCAAGGTTTAAAGAAAGTGTTATGGCCTAAAAAAATTTATAGATATTCTTT